AAGGAGACTTACACAAGTATCCTCTTGCACAAAGCTTCCAGTACACTGTTCAATATTTACATACATGGGACTCCAACTGAGGGAGCTGCTGCAGTGATCTAACAAGGTGCTATTTGTATTCCTGGCTGAGTGTTACCCACTCCTTGTCAGCTCACAGTGACAGGTACCCAATTTGAGTTCTGAACTCACACAAGTCTTGAATAGGCTACGGTATTTCTGTTTGAACTCATTTTGATTTTGTGAGCCATGATGGGTCCAAATCCTGGGAGATGGTGGGCTATAAATCAAACAAAATGCATAGATTTGTCCAATATAATTTAGGCAAGTGATTTTAGATTCAACAGATTTAGCTCTGGGATTTTTCTCTGCCTGGTGTCTCTTTGTGAATGGCACTGAGCACAAGAGGGTATCCTATAGACCATCTTGTATGCTGACATGAATGCTGTCAACATTCAGTTTTTCCTTTGCTATGTAAAGTCCTTTGCTATGTAAATTCCTTTTTTCCTGCTGGCAATATGAATAAGATATTGTGCAGCAATACTGGGCCATTTCCTGGTGTTTTGAATTGTGACTACAGAAGCAAGATATTCCCCATTCACGAATTGAAATTAAGTTCATTCACAGAAACCTAGACCCTTAAATCCTGGAAATATTTGAAAACATTTATTATAATGGGAACATATTTGACCAAGTTGGACAAGAACAATGGAATATCATTATCAGAAAGGTTAATCAGATGAACTATTTTCTTTATGCTAATACATTCAGTCTTTAATTCCATTTTAGCATATCCACAAGGGGTTCTACTGCTATGGTAAAAAGAATGGGGGATGGAGAAAACTGTATTTTGCTTTGCATAATTGAAATGGGGAAAACTGTACTTTGATGCTATGGGCCATCAATCTAGAAGGCTAGAATACCAGATTTACCCTCACTTTGATAATGTACAGATAGGAATGCCATGCTTCTCATGCTGGCAGAGCGATTCTGGGGATTGTGGTTAAAAAAAGAAAAGAAAAGAAATTGACTTGCAAGTTCTGGTTTTTTCCAAGGTTTTGCATTTATCCACATTTTGCAATGCAGATCTCTGTTTTAAAAACGTTGAGAGAAAACCCATTAAAGTATACAATTAAATAAGGTTTCCAGTAGGGATTTTTAAAAATGTGGATTAACGCAGAAACAGGACAGAACAAAGGTAGGAAGGAACAGATGCAAAACTGAAATGGATCAGAAATTACCTGAGCAGGGAGCATTTATATTAATTAACATTCCATTGGCCAAAATTGTATTACTTATGCCTGCTAGCATAAATCAATTGGTGTAGATCTTGGCTGCAATTAGCCACAAGTTAAGAAGTCAACATAGGCATTTTTTGTTGTGCACCGAGTTGTGTGATTATGTGATTCTGCCACCCAGAGCTTGAAATAGCCCTGTCTAGAAAACTGGTGGCGCTGTGGGCTAAACCGCAGAAGCCTGTGCTGCAGGGTCAGAAGACCAGCAGTCGTAAGATCGAATCCACATGACGGAGTGAGCGCCCGTCGCTTGTCCCAGCTCCCGCCAACCTAGCGGTTCGAAAGCATGCAAATGCAAGTAGATAAACAGGGACCACCTCGGTGAGAAGGTAAACAGCATTCCGTGTCTAAATCACACTGGCCATGTGACCACGGAAAGATTGTCTTCGGGCAAACGCTGGCTCTATGGCTTGAAGAGCGGGATGAGTGCCGCCCCCTAGAGTCGGACACGACTGGACAAAAATTGTCAAGGGGAACCTTTACCTTTACCTTTACCTAGAAAACTGTGATCTGCTGTTTGTATTGCTCAGACTTTCTGGAGAAGGGGAGAAGAAGACTCATATGGATTCTTCACATGTTCTTTTGAATTTCATAAATCATTAAAGACACAGGTTGTTCTTTCAAATAATTGCGCTGCGGGCTAAACCGCAGAAGCCTGTGCTGCAGGGTCAGAAGACCAGCAATCATAAGATCGAATCCGTGCGATAGAGTGAGCTCCCATCGCTTGTCCCAGCTCCCGCCAACCTAGCGATTCGAAAGCATGCAAATGCGAGTAGATTAATAGGGACCACCTCAGTGGGAAGGTAACAGCGTTCCGTGTCTAAGTCGCATTGGCCATGTGACCACGTAAGATTGTCTTCGGACAAAACGCTGGCTCTATGGCTTGGAAACAGGGATGAGCACCACCCCCTAGAGTCGAACACAACTGGACAAAAATTGTCAAGGGAAACCTTTACCTTTACCTAAGCTGATATTAGGCAAAGCCAGATACATCTATCACATAAGGCTTAAAACCAAAAACTGATAGGCCCACTGAGTCAGTTGTTGAATCGTGAGTGGACTCTTATGCAATCATATTGATTCAATGTGTCCATTCTAGTTGGGACTGTCACTTGGATTTAAGCCATATGGTCTCTATGCAAAATCACTGCTTTGTGACAACATTTATGTCTGCTCGAACTTAACCGCCACCACCCCGCCCTCCCCAGGGCTCATTAATCCAAGAGAAGGCATGTGAGAGAACATCTCACAATCAGGGGCTGTGTGCCTCAGAGTGAATGTTTTTAAGCATTCTGTTAAAAGTTTGTTTCCAATCTAATGCCTGTCATAGGGATATTTGCAGCACATCAAGCTTGCTGTGAATTTTTGACCCACAGATTGAAAAATTATCCAACTTTGACAAATTCTGTGGAGAATAGGTGGGAGGCTGCTGACATTTCACTTAGTTTTTACAGAATCCATTGCTGGAGAAAGGCTGACAGGACTGACAGAGCCTTTTTCACTTCTGCCTACTCTCTGTTGGCAGTCACCAGGATGTGAACCAGGAAACAGCTTGTTTCTATACCTCTCCATTCTGCACAATATCTTCCACACTCAGAAATGTCAGCTTCCTCTGGCAAGGGGTTGCATTTGATCCCTTTACCTGACCTTGCTGTTCAGGAAGTACTCACAGTCAACATTTTGGGATTTGTTTCTGCAGGATATGGTGCCTGCAATGACTAACTATTCAAGGTTAAGGATATCAACGGTTGTGAGTTATAGTAGTTTTATATTGCCCAAGGCAGCACTGTTGCCCTCCAGATATTCCTTCTGGGCCTTCCAGATGTACAGGCTATAAACACACCCAAGCTTTACAGAACTTCATTATCAGGACTTCATGCCAGAAATAAGAGACTTCAGAATCACTATCTCTTCTGCTATTATCCTGCACTGTCACAGAAACGTCATGCTCACATCTCCATCTAGAACTGAACACCTGGCTTAAGTCTGAAGTCTATGGCACAGAAGAGCATAGCCCAAACAGACCCTCTTAATGGCTAGAATCCTGTTGTGAGATATACTGGGCTCAAGGGAAATTGTGCAAGTAGTTTGTCCGATTTTCTATCTCTCTGTTGCATTCCCTAGTGTACAATAAGATACGTATTTATTTATTTAAAATATTTTTACTCCACTTTTCTCCTTAAAAGAAAAATCATTAAATTTACCTCATTAAAAAGAAAATGTTTAAAAGCTAAAAATAGTGAGAATGCAAATTTAAAAAAAGAAATAAACAAGTATTATATTAAAAATGATAAAGTCGGTACTAAAAACATATTTAAAAAAAAAACAAAAAACAAAACATAGTACAACAATCCATTAAAAAAAAGCCCCCTCAGACTGCCAGTCACTAAGGAAAAGCCTGCCTGAAGAGAAAGGTCTTTGCCTGGGTAAGTGTCCTGGGTATGTCTTGAGTGTGCAACAAACAGCTGGAATGACTGTAAAATTTTCTGTTTACACTGTACAAAACCAGTAGGATTCTGTCTGATGTCTGGTTATTTCCTAATTTGATTTGGTTTTTTAAAGATATGCCCCAATGAAAGCAATATAGAGTCTAGGATCTCTGAGGTGCTGAACGACAAAGTACAACGTACTACTGTGAGTGGGTGAGCTTGGGCAGCCAAGGAGTGTCTACTTCCACATCCCACTGGCCCTCCAAGAACCCCTAACAAAGCTATATGGGGGGTATAGGGGGAATCTCTCTCCCCAGTTGCTGTTCTGGAATGAATGGTCCTACAGATTTTGGAGGTAATGAAATTTGGAAAGGCAGGAAAAGGGGGGGAGTGGGGAAAAGTGGGGAAAAGTCTGTCAAGGAAATCTCCCACCAAAGGGAAAATAGAAGGAATTTGGAGGAAGAGTTGGGGGCAGTCAGAGGTCAGGAAGAGGAGGAGGAGAGGGATATAGAGGACTGCCCCAGAGTGAAGTGGGGAAGTTCTGGACACAGCTGGCTATGTGGCTTCGAAAGAAACCCTCCTCTAGCAGACTATAGCCTGACTACAGAAAAGAGGTAAAATTCTGTATGAATTAAAACTGAAACTAAGAAACAGGGTCAAGTCGACGGGGAGGACTTGGCCCCAATCCAACACTGCCGTTTGCATTTGGAGTTGCCCTTTAAATGCCTGCATCAGTGGGCAAGAGACATTAGGGCAGAGAGTATACAAATCTTGCCTGTCAGTTGATCTACTTGTGGGTATAGGGTGGGGTGAGGCCAACCCCACATCTATTTAGTATTAAGGTCTTGGAGTACTGGAGCTAATTCTCCAGTATGAATGCAGTGAAAGTAAGTGTGTGGCAGAGAATAGTTGTAAATAGTTATAAAGAAATTTTCACTGAAGTTGAAGGCCATCTCTGGATCTCTTTCAAGATAATGAATGATAATGGGGTGTCTTTTGTCATCCTCATGCCAGTGGATGAGGCGTACTCCTTCACAGGTATACTATCTTATCTGTTTAGTATATTGAAGGGCCCAGTCCTTTCAGTTTCACTACTAGTATAAAACTGCTATTGAAAATTCTAAAACTGTTGCTGCACAAAAGGAAAGGAGTGATAGTGAGGTATTTGTAACAGCATAATTAGGCACCAGAACTGACATTTGCTATTACTGTAATTGTTGCTAATGCCGCTGAACATATGAACTTATCTCAAACTTTATTTTTAGATTTGTCCTCTTACTGCCTTGTGCTGAATCAGAGCTGGTTGGCTTGATTACACGATTTGCATCTTCGTGAAGAGCGCCAAACCAATCTTTTAGACGGGATGCGAGGCTCCTCAGCTCCTTGTCCGTGCAAGCTGTTAAGAGAATGATAACAAAGAGATTAGTGGGAATATAATAGATATGACCTCTAAAGAAGGTTATTACTTACTTCTTGAAGAATAAGCTTTTGACACAAAGAGAGAGGGAGCAGTTGTTCATAGGATTGCATCAGATCAAGAAAACACAGAATGGCAAGACAAGAAGCATAATTCTACTTGAAAATTTACTAAATAGGAGACATAATTTATAGTGTAGGACCTGTACACTAATCCATCATCTGCTGTTGCTCAGATATGTTTGGGAATTTTGGGTGAGGCTTCTCAGCTTTAAAATCTTCTGAGAAAACATAAATCAAAGAACAGTAGGAAAAAAGAGAATCACATAACAATGCTGCTAGAGCCTGACTCGGGAAATGATTCATAACCCATATTCAGTTGGGTTTAAAGCTATTGTCACAGCAATTGATTATTAGTCTTTTAATGGAGGCTGTCATGTTTTCCAATTTGATGGCAAATAAGAGTCTGCCATCTTTTAAAGCAGCCCCCCCCCTTCATAATGTTATCCAGATTAAAGCAACCAATACTTATGCTTATTTGGAAATATATTTTTAAAAATGAATTTCTGTTAAGAGCTTTATGCTTACAAGAATGTGGTATTAGAAATTTTGGAGGGGATTCTTGGAAAAGAAATGTTTCAATTTTGGACTATCTTTAGTGTCCAAATTCACTGAATGGAGTCACTATTTCTTCTTCTTGTGAACATATTCCAAAATCTGAATAACATTTTTCATATACAAACGAAGGCTTCCCTCCAGTAATATCAGGCATATTTTACAGAATAATCCACACTGTACAGCATCACTGTTCACTGTCAGTTTTAATACAGTCTTTGATCCAGTCCTAAGCATATATATTTACTTTTTGCAGGGATAAGAAACAAGGAAGATACTTATTGTTCTAAGAAACTCACAGTTTTAAACTGAGTGAGAAAGAAAGATAAAGTTAGGAAGGGCAGGGATTAATGAAACAAGGATAATACATGAAAGCCAAATGCAATTTCATGAATTAGTAAAAGAGAGAAGCACGGGGGGAAAGAGAGAGAGTGAGAGCGCAGTGGTCTTTGTCTATGAAGCATGTGTAATAGCCAAGGAAATATTTTGATTACTTGTAACCTGCTAGGAAAAAAAGGAAGACTGCAGCTGATAAAAGTCAATGGGCAAAACCAGGCACAGTTTGTGTAACAAGCCTCTTTCTTTCTTTCTTTCTTTCTTTCAGGAGCTCACTCCACACCGTCCCTATGAAAACTCAGCCACTGCTATGTTGTCCACAACAGGTTGAATTGTTATTCCTTATGACTTGCATGCTTTGTTTCTGTTAATGCAAGTTTTTGTTTTCTGTTTTTTTTAAATTGGGGCTGCTAAAGTGGTCTCAGCCTTGGGTCCTTAAACATTCTTGGACTGCAACTCCCAGAAATTCTGGCTAGCACAGCTAGTGGCAAAAACTTTTTGGAGTTTTAGTCCAAAAACATCTGGAGACCCAAGGTTGGGAACTACACTGATTTAAGACATCAGGAACCTCACCATCCCCTCCTTCTGGTCTTCTGTTATCAGGCAAAGACTTACTTATTCAGGCAGGCATTTGAATAAGAAGTAGGAGTGTAGGGAATGCTGTATTTACTAAATTTAGATATTTTATTTTTAAAAAAATCATTTAAAATTTTATTTTGGTTTTAGTATTGATCAATGTTTAATTACTTTTTAAATATATTTGTCCTGTATAATAATTTAAACATGCATAGTTTTAATTATTGTGATTTGCATTGAGTCTCCTATGGGGAGAAAGGCAGCATATAAATAATATAAAGAAAATAAAGAATTAATAAACCTTTTCTTCTTGCACTTCTGTGAAGTCAGCTCTCTCATTCCATTCCTATGCCTTTCATTCTTCCACCCTAATAGTGTGTCAAAGAATGCTATCTTCACCTTGCTTTTTTGGCCCAGTTTTCCAGCTTGTGAAGATAATTTCAAACTTTGATTCCTTCTTGGAAGGTGTTAGCTATCCCTCCCAAATATGTGCCATTTGGAAGTGAGATTAGCATCTCCTTTATATCTTCATCTAGACTGTTTATAAAAATCTAAAACAGCTCTTCTCCTGGGGCAGAGCTCTGCAGCACCAGACTCAAGACTCCCTGAAGTTTGATAAAGCACACAATGAGCACATACTAAGTATAGCTCGTCAACCCATTGTAGATCCATCTAATAATAGAATGGTCTAGTACACACTTTACTACTGTATCTTGTGAACAAAGGCATTGTGGAGGCCTTCATTGATGTTTTGCTGAACCCAAGATTTACTGGATCTATGCTGTGCTCTTGATCTACCAAGCCAGTAAAATCATATTACAAATGGAAATAACATTCATTTGATATTGCAGTATACTATATTTTTTATAAACTCATGTTGACTGTCTCATAGATTATCACAAATCAGCTGCTCAGTAATTTGTTCTAAAACTTTGCCCAAAATTAACATCAGACTGGTCTGCAATTTGAACACAACTGCTACTCTTTTGAAAGGAAATAGAACATGCATCTATCTCTAGTCTTTCATTACCTATGTATCTAAGTTTATAGCTAGCAAATCTAAAATAACACATTCATCCTCTGCAGCACTGGAGACATTCACAATAACCTGGTAATCTTTGTCTCCTAACTTGTGTTTCTGCTTACTAGGTTATGTTAGTTGTTATATACTGTACATCCAAAAGCCTGCAGCTTCATGGACTCTATTTTAAACAGACATTATACACGACAACCAGTTTTGCTGCACTTAAATGATCTCAAGCTTCTATAAGCAAAGATTTTTTCAAAACAACAACAAAGACATAAACATATAAAATAGGCAAATCATGATCCTTTTCTTTATTACCAAAATATATGCAGTTTTATGTGCTATTTTTTATATCCCTTTGCCTGTTTTGCATTTTTCACAAGTAAGAAAAGACCTGGATTAATGATATATATCAGGACTCTTACGTCTTTTTTCTTCTAAAAAACTGAATTGCTAATGGTGAAGAAGTATTTTGCATCTCCTATCAGTTTTATTAATCAATCTAATGAAACGTGAAACTTTTCAGAAAGACTTTGGATTGTTGAAGATACTTGGAGACACACTCTAGGGTGAGTTGCTAGTGATAGCAAGCAAATAAGGCTACAATGATGCATGCTCTGGTAACTTTCAGACTAAATTACTGCAGTGTATTATATGTAGGATTGCCCTTATCACATGGAAACTTCGATAGATACAGGAGACACCTGTCAAAATTTTAACAGGTATGATCAGATTTCTACCCATTATAACACATCTAAAATAGCTTAACTGGCTACCAGTTTGTTTCAAGAAGTTTATAAGCATAATGCCAAAAGCACGCTTTAGAATGGAACCTAAATGAGCACAGTGTAAAAAGTAGTTATTTGCTTTAAGGCCTAGCAAAGGTAACAAGAAGCTGGTTTCCTGTTAAATGGACCAACTCCTTAAATGCAGATTTGTTCTTTCAAACTCTTACTTCTAGCTCAGCTTGCTTCAAAGATATGGAGCCACAACAGTTGGAGGATGAACCAGGCAAACATTGGCAATAAATAGTTATGTTGCTTTACTCCAGTATTGAATTCTGCATCTGCCAGTGACTCATAAGCCGAATGTTTCAGTGTCTAACCAGGAGTGAGCCAGGGTTGTAAAGCTGCAAATAAATTGATCATTTCTCTTGTGGGCTATCTGCTGTATGCCTTACCGACATGCCTTACCCCACCACCACCACCCTTGAAGAGACCCTTGCCCAGCAGGCTGAGGCAAAGAGGAAGTCACAAAAGCAGCAAAACCAGGGAGCTGGACAGGGGACAGATTGGATTTGTCTTCAGTGTGGAAGAGATTGTCACTCTCGAATTGGCCTCCTCAGCCACACTAGATGGTGTTCCAAGTCCTCCATACAGAGCACGTTACCATAGTCTTTCGAGACTGAAGGATGCCTAACTAACCACCACCAATGTTGGGAGCCTTGCTTAGTTGCCAACCAGTGACAGATTAGGATTTGCCAGGAACTCTATTCTTTTCACAGAATTAAAGGCACAATTAGTAACAGCCTCAATTTATGACTGAAAGGCGAGCCTGACTTTTTTTTAAAAAAAAGCCTAAATGTGAAACCAACAACTTGAAATACTTTAAAATCCTAACTGTGTGTTTCATCTTACATATATCCTGCTCTTCTTTTTTAGAAAGTCTAAGCCAGCTTGCCTGATGGTCAGAAAGTAACAGATGAAAAAACTTTTCAGTTTTGAGTAGTGGTGGTTTGGATGAATCTTTTCTGAAGTGAACTACTTATCTGGTCATAGGGGAAATGCATGGTAATACTAGTGGCTGTAATATGTTTTTACTAAACGCATGAGTGGAGTTATTTTCAGAAATCCAGCTTGTTTAGTTTGTTTATTCAAATGATACTTACCGTACTTACAAGTAGGTTTACAGAAACACTCTGCACACTTATCTGAGAGTAAGCCCAAGTGAACTCAGGAAGGCTTCATTCTGAGTTCACTGGGCTGCATAGGTTTTATGCAGAGCCTCGTGGCACAGTGGTTTAAACTGCTGTACTGCAGCCAAAACTGTGCTCACGTCTTGGGGTTCAATCCCAGGTAGCCGGCTCAAGGTTAACTCAGTCTTCTATCCTTCCGAGGTCGGTAAAATGAGTGCCCAGCTTGCTGTGGGGGCAACGTGTAGTCTGCATAATCAACTTGTAAAGAGTGCTTTAAGCAGTATGGGGCAGTATATACGCAGCACACTTTTTTTGCTTTTTGTGTGTGTGCTGTTCTTTGTAGGCTTCTGGAACTTTTTTTTTAAAAAAACTTTTCTTTTAGGTTTAGTGCACTGTTTAGCAGCTAAGATATTTGCCAATTATATATATAGGAACGTGAAGGCATGCATAAGCATGTGTAGGATGTGAATAGGTTATAGGCTAAAAATAAGATCAATGAGTTATTTAGTAG